GTTCGTCCCACGCGCATACCCGCAGATATGACACTTTTTCAGGTTTTTCACACCCACCGCCATGACACTTTTTCAATTTTTTGAAGATAAAAAGTTTGCGCTTCGTAGGCAAGGTACAATTGGTGCTCATGATTTATGAATAATATATTTTTAATACTGTACTGATCATGATGTTGACTCTGTTATAACTTTTTTTTTTATCTTTTAGTTTTATTTGATGAAGGTTGATTGTGCTGATTTCTCTAGGTTTGTTAATGTGTATCAAATTTCCTTGAAATGAAAATATTCCTTCAAACAAAACGCGTATAAAAAAACAAAATATTCATGTCTATAATTATCAATTAACAAGAACGAAATATTTCCAGAACATATTTATTCATTTTGCGTGTTATGGTGACATTATCTAATGCATTGGGGATCAGAAATAATAGTAGCTATAGTGAAAATATTGTAAATTTTGTATATATATGGAAGTCAAGTTTAATCTCATAGAACTATGTCTTTATAGATATAATTACTGGAATAAAAATCTAACCATGATACTTCAAGGAAGATAGGCATGCAAGTAAATTTAATGTAATTATTTACACTTTTATCTATCTGAAATGCTGTGTACACCTTATCTACTTTCCTCAACTATAAATTTAATTAAAATAAGTAAGGACTATTACTTTGCAATACATTTAAAATAGAGAAGTAGGTATAAAGTCCTTTCGATTTGTCTAAATCCTCATATTGATAGGATAGTAATTGCAACATCTTGGGGATTTCAAAGGTTTTATTAAGTCAACTTCATCATAGAGCTATTTATCACTTGGCTTGTTGGCGATAAATATATGGTTGTGTTTATTTTGTTATTTTTTTTACCTGTTTTGATTTGTTCACATTATTGTCGTCAGATTTAAAATAAGAATTAAAGAAGATATAAAATCGCTTAAAATTAAGAAAAATAGCCTCTGGTTCTCTTATTTTAGTAATTTTTGCATTCCAAAGTGTAGGAGTATGGGGAAAGTAATATAGCTTAGCGGTTATTTGTGAACATTTTTCAATACGTTTAGCCTCTCAGTACTTTCAGTACTTTGATTTTTAGTGTTGCTGTAGGGCCTTGCCATTTTATGGAGGTAGGTTGGGGGGCATATAGTGTTACTCATGTGTTTGTCCTGTTCTGAATGAGTGCCATATATTGAGAATCTCTGAAGAGATTTACTCCATAGTAACATACCATCATGTTCAACACCTTTTACAGCTTATCATATCTAGGTGGTCATCTGTCGAGGTCAAAGGGTCGAATGTCTCATTAGGCTACCTCTGTAAATTCATCAAACAATGATATTTATATTGAGAGAAGTGGAGACAGTCATGTTTTGCAATCAATTTGCAGCTTGTATACAGTGCACATTTCTGTGTTCTAGTCATTGTGAAGACAGTTTCACACTCAGCTTCATGAATTTTTCAACATGTTACCTTATGAATCTTGCTATCAATGTGACTGTCAATGCAACAGATAATTACTAGAATGAAAAGAGAAAATAACTAACGTAGAATCAATAAAGATCACACACTGGTGGGCGTCATAAGGTCTCTCTACGGGAATCTCGTCTTCTCTCGTAGACAAATGACGTGGTCTCTATTGAAAGCTGATGAAATATTGATGGTTTAAAGCCAGCTATTGTGGTAATCCTTTTTATTGTTGTTGTGAGTGGTAATTTTAAGGTTCAAAAATTGCTGATTTGTTGCTTTTCAATGATGCGTGTTACCTGTTTGTTAATTAGATCTTTAAGAACTTATACATTTTTCATAAAGGAAAATTACGTTTCCATAAAATACTCTTTACTGGAATAATGGTTGATTGTTTTTAAGCAATATATTTCTTGGTCTGCTGAGAGATGAGATCAACAACATGTGATGCTGCAACTGTTTTAACGTTCAGTATACAGATATCGGGTATGAATGGATTTTGATTTTCTATGAAATATATTAGGCCTGAATGATACTTTGTCAGCTATACACAGGTGTAAGGTATCATTAATACAGCATCTTTACCAACATAAATCTTAGTGTTGGTGTGTACTGGTAAATATGGTGATATATACCATTAACATTATGGCTAACGAGGTACATCAATTATTGACCAACCCTTGTGGTAGGTATATTGATTGTATGCTGTAACAAAAATAACATAGTGTGTCCCGTCTTCTTACGCTTCTTATTTGGGCCATTATTTCTATGTCTGACACACAATCGGTCGAATTATGATTTTATTATTTTGTCTGTTTGGTCTCTGGCCGCATCAGCAGTCCAGGTCATTTGGAGGTGAGGTCACTAATAGTAAGTAGCCGGTGGCTATCTCACTGAACAACATATGGAAGGCCCATCACATGCCATCCAGACCATTCAGAGTAGAGCGTCTAGCCCGATACATGAACAAATCAGACCAAGAGGTTTCATGGCTTACTGAGAAACAAACCACAACCACACACTTCAGGTCTTAACCTGAGGTTGCCAAGTGCAACCGTCTACCAACTGAGCTGTCACATTCCTATTTAAGTTTTCATGTTTAGTGATGGCAAGGGACATTATAGCTCACCTGTTCTGAACAAGTACCTGCTTTAATTGACTATGCAGCAGATATTTTATGCAAATTTAATCTGAAGCATCTGTGTCAGACTGCACTTCAGTTTCCTAACACAGGAGCTGGTGGGTTAGTCCCTGAAGCATCTGTGTCAGACTGCACTTCAGTTTCCTAACACAGGAGCTGGTGGGTTAGTCCCTGAAGCATCTGTGTCAGACTGCACTTCAGTTTCCTAACACAGGAGCTGGTGGGTTAGTCCCTGAAGCATCTGTGTCAGACTGCACTTCAGTTTCCTAACACAGGAGCTGGTGGGTTAGTCCCTGAAGCATCTGTGTCAGACTGCACTTCAGTTTCCTAACACAGGAGCTGGTGGGTTAGTCCCTGAAGCATCTGTGTCAGACCGCACTTCAGTTTCCTAACACAGGAGCTAGTGGGTTAGTCCCTGAAGCAAACATAAGCTTTTTCTTTAAAACCCAACTCCTCTTTCATACAGAGATGGATTTCTACTAAATTTGGTCTGATGCATCATTGGGTGAGAGTAATCGTTTTTTTAATTCAGATTTTTTATTCGACCCCTATGGGTCGAGGGACAAGGCCCCAAAGGAGGAGGAGGTGTTGAAATTAGATTTTGAACCCTACTCCTCCTCCATGCCTGGGTGGATTTCGACAAGCTTTGGCCTGATACATAAATTATTACTTAAAATCAGAAATTTGATTCCACCCCTAGGGACTTGGGAGCAGGGCCCCAAACAGGAAAATAAGACAATATTTTGCTTCAAAATGCTATTCCTTTTTAATGGTTGAATGGATTTCAACCAAATTTAGACTAAAACATCACTGGGAGATGGGAATCATTCAGAAAATTTATTTGACAGCTAGTTAGTAGGAATGACCTTGATCTGCTTGAAACGTCACAATGATCAAATATGTTGAAATCTTGAAATGACTTCTTCTCAATAACCCAAAGGCCCAGGATGATGATATTAGGCCTTAACATGCTGCGATAAAGGACTATCAACTTTGTTAATATGAATGACATTGACCCACTTTCAGGGTCACAGGTATCAAATATATTTCAATAAACGGAAAGCCAAGGGTCTTGATATTGTAGCTTGCTTTTTCAACAAGCAATATGTCCAGAGTAATGGCATTTGTGTAGTGCATATTTGAAGAACATGATTTCAAGTTTGCAGAAAATGTCTGTATGAACCAACAGTGTCTTCTATGCAATCTATTGTAGGTCTATTTGGCCTCTTTCATATATATGTCTATATAGTCAGATGACCGTTAAGGCCCATGGGCCTCTTGTTTATTTTCTCTTGTAAAGGATGAGTAGGACAGATTGGTATTTCACTTGTAAGATGTTGTGGTGTATACATATTGTTTTGCTTGGGTTATGAAATGAGGTAATACTCTGAGGTCAGAACAGTGTTGATACATAGATATTAAATTGTTAAGGTAAGAACTCTAGCTTAATATACTCTGAGAGGGTTAGAATTAACATCCCTACTCTTGTACCACCTGTTTGACCAGATAAAGTCCTATTAAAAGGATAAGTCCAACCTTAACTCAGGGATCCATGGGTCATGATATAGAGATGATAAAGATACATATCATTTGTTAGTATACCTCCATTTTGTGCTGGAAGATTTAAGAACATTTATTCTGTAGGGATCATTTCATAACGTAGGCCCGGCAGCTCTACTTTAAATAATGGAAATGAGAACATGATCTCGTAAATCTTATCAAATTAAGCAATCTGGATTACAAGTACGTAACCATGGTATCCACAGTAAACACATTCTCACAATCTTTTATTGGAATAACATACCTTGTTAAGATTGGAATAACATACCTTGTTAAGATTGGAATAACATACCTTGTTAATATTGGAATAATATTCCTTGGTAATATTAAAATAACATACCTTGGTACAGAATAACATACCTTGGTAAGATTGGAATAACATACCTTGTTAATATTGGAATAACATACCTTGGTAAGATTGGAATAACATACCTTGTTAATATTGGAATAATATTCCTTGGTAATATTAAAATAACATACCTTGGTACAGAATAACATACCTTGGTAAGATTGGAATAACATACCTTGTTAATATTGGAATAACATACCTTGGTAAGATTGGAATAACATACCTTGGTAAGATTGGAATAACATACCTTGGTAAGATTAGAATAACATATCTTGGTAAGATTGGAATAACATACCTCGGTAAGAGATGGATCACTGAGGAAAAGATGGGCAATACAGGCCCAATAGGCCTCTTGTTTTGAGGTAATACTGTAATAAAGCTTCACAGATTCACGATAAATAGCATGATGATATGGACTTTTTCTTTTAAGCATGACGTTTTTGTCACAGGCAGGTGATGGATGTTTAAATATTTAAATTTTATTTTGTTTAGGGAGACGACTCAATCGACTACCTTGTTGATTGCTTTGATGTCAACAACCGACTTCTGCTGACAACCGGTACACACAGGTAAGATTGGTCATCCTTATCTGTGTCTCGTGCAGCCAGTTTCATTACTTCAAAATGAAAAACATTTTACCAACTATGTTTTCATAAACCATCTATGTTTTCATAATTAATCAAAACTTATGCATACTTTTTGGGAAATGAATAACACCATGGACATTGTTTTATTTATCCTCAGACTGTAGAAGATTTGAGAAATATAAACTTCTAATCTAAGTTACTGATTAGGGGTGTATCCTGTATATAAATCTGGGATAAGTTTCACTAGTAAATTTGTTATGGAAATGAAAAGCAATATTCTTCTAAATGATTACACTGAATAATGCTGTTTTATTAATGACTATTGTATTCACCTTGCCTCAATAAATCTGACTGATGTGTTTCTGTAAACTAAAGATAACAGAACAAATTACTGTCATATTCTATTGAGGAACATCCCTCATCATGAAAGTGAAGGTACTGAGTGGTTAAAGGAACAACAGGATGTACTTTCTCTGTAATAAAAGTAGCTCTTTCATGAATAATCAAAGTCCAATTTGTACCCATCCATTGGCGGAGAAAGATGGTTATGTGATTGTAATAAAATGTGTCTGATTTTGGCATTCAAAATCTGTAAGTGGTCCATACTAGAATGACATGGGTGGCCATATTGCCAGCTGTAACATCATTCTGACATTTAGAGAAATATAGATTGTAACTAGGTGACTTTAATTATCCAATGGGATGTATGGATTTTACTCTTAGGTTAAAGGTAGATGTTAGACATTTAAGTCTACATAGATATCACATTAGTCGTGTATGACTGAAAGATGGTGTTATTTAGCCTTAAGATGCTGTTGACCTTGACATTGCCTTCTGTTGTGACATCATACTATGAATGACATCATCTTTACGACTTGTAATGGAAAGCTTGCGATATAAAATGAACATAGGGAAACAATTTATTTTGTTCAAGCCACAGAAAAAAATGTTTTGTAGTTTGAAAGTAATGTGACAGTGCACAAAAATATTGTTACAGGAATTGATTTGACTGGTATTAGATAACACCCTGTTTTAGTTCTGTTTTCATTGAAAGGAAATTTGTTATGGTAAGGAACACTTTTCTGAAGATTTATGATCGATGAAGGTAACTTATCAATTGAATTTGTGTAACTTTATCTGGACAATGCCTTAGGATTTATCAATATGTTTCCAGTGGTGACATCAGGCTTCTGGATGTGTCTGGTGATGGTCCATCTGTGGTGACAACATTGGCAAAGGGACATAACTCTACTGTTCGGGTCTCATACTGGGACAGCAAGGTGATTTAATATTTTTATGACAACTTATCAAAGATCAATCAATGATTTTAGTGTGGAAGATTATAGAATGCACTGCATTGTGTTTACCTAGTTCATTCTTATGCATTGTCTGTCCATAAATAGAATTTTGTACAGACTCGGGTCAAGTTATCCTTTAGTAAGCAGAGATCAAACTTTCTTTTCACCTGTCTTGACAACATTTTCTTTGATTTAATGAAAGTAAAAACAGAAAAAACCTGAGGTAGTATTTGTGTTGACAGACATGCAGTTTGGTGACTGGGGGAGAGGACTCTTATCTGTGTCTATGGTCCAAGGATGGCCAACTCCAGACACCCTATGGAACAGTTAGTGTGGCAGAAAGTCAGCACACTCCTTCTCATGGAAAGGTAGGTGTGGTGTACAGTCAGCTCAAACCTGCTTACAAAAGGTAGGTGTGGTGTACAGTCAGCTCAAACCTGCTTACAAAAGGTAGGTGTGGTGTACAGTCAGCTCAAACCTGCTTACAAAAGGTAGGTGTCGTGTACAGTCAGCTCAAACCTGCTTACAAAAGGTAGGTGTCGTGTACAGTCAGCTCAAACCTGCTTACAAAAGGTAGGTGTCGTGTACAGTCAGCTCAAACCTGCTTACAAAAGGTAGGTGTCGTGTACGGTCATCTCAAACCTGCTTACAAAAGGTAGGTGTGGTGTACGGTCAGCTCAAACCTGCTTACAAAAGGTAGGTGTCATGTACGGTCAGCTCAAACCTGCTTACTAAAGGTAGGTGTGGTGTACGGTCAGCTCAAACCTGCTTACAAAAGGTAGGTGTCGTGTACGGTCAGCTCAAACCTGCTTACAAAAGGTAGGTGTCGTGTACAGTCAGCTCAAACCTGCTTACAAAAGGTAGGTGTCGTGTACAGTCAGCTCAAACCTGCTTACAAAAGGTAGATGTCGTGTACAGTCAGCTCAAACCTGCTTACAAAAGGTAGGTGTGGTGTACAGTCAGCTCAAACCTGCTTACAAAAGGTAGGTGTGGTGTACAGTCATCTCAAACCTGCTTACAAAAGGTAGGTGTGGTGTACAGTCAGCTCAAACCTGCTTACAAAAGGTAGGTGTCGTGTACAGTCAGCTCAAACCTGCTTACAAAAGGTAGTTGTCGTGTACAGTCAGCTCAAACCTGCTTACAAAAGGTAGGTGTGGTGTACAGTCAGCTCAAACCTGCTTACAAAAGGTAGGTGTCGTGTACGGTCAGCTCAAACCTGCTTACAAAAGGTAGGTGTCGCAAACAGTCAGCTCAAATCCTCTCATGAAAAAGGAAATGTCATGGACACTCAGTTGACACCCACTTACAGAAGCAGGTATTGTAAAGAGTCAGTTCATACCCTCACACAGAGATATATCATGGACACTCCATTCACACCCTCACACAGAGATATATCATGGACACTCTAGTCACACCCTCACACAGAGATATATCATGGACACTCTAGTCACACCCTCTTACAGAGATATATCATGGACACTCCATTCACACCCTCACACAGAGATATATCATGGACACTCCATTCACACCCTCACACAGAGATATATCATGGACACTCTAGTCACACCCTCACACAGAGATATATCATGGACACTCTAGTCACACCCTCTTACAGAGATATATCATGGACACTCCATTCACACCCTCACACAGAGATATATCATGGACACTCCATTCACACCCTCACACAGAGATATATCATGGACACTCTAGTCACACCCTCTTACAGAGATATATCATGGACACTCCATTCACACCCTCACACAGAGATATATCATGGACACTCCATTCACACCCTCACACAGAGATATATCATGGACACTCCATTCACACCCTCACACAGAGATATATCATGGACACTCCATTCACACCCTCACACAGAGATATATCATGGACACTCCATTCACACCCTCACACAGAGATATATCATGGACACTCCATTCACACCCTCACACAGAGATATATCATGGACACTCTAGTCACACCCTCTTACAGAGATATATCATGGACACTCCATTCACACCCTCTTACAGAGATATATCATGGACACTCCATTCACACCCTCACACAGAGATATATCATGGACACTCCATTCACACCCTCTTACAGAGATATATCATGGACACTCCATTCACACCCTCACACAGAGATATATCATGGACACTCCATTCACACCCTCACACAGAGATATATCATGGACACTCTAGTCACACCCTCTTACAGAGATATATCATGGACACTCCATTCACACCCTCACAAAGAGATATATCATGGACACTCCATTCACACCCTCACACAGAGATATATCATGGACACTCCATTCACACCCTCACACAGAGATATATCATGGACACTCCATTCACACCCTCACACAGAGATATATCATGGACACTCCATTCACACCCTCACACAGAGATATATCATGGACACTCTAGTCACACCCTCTTACAGAGATATATCATGGACACTCCATTCACACCCTCACACAGAGATATATCATGGACACTCCATTCACACCCTCACACAGAGATATATCATGGACACTCCATTCACACCCTCACACAGAGATATATCATGGACACTCCATTCACACCCTCACACACAGATATATCATGGACACTCCATTCACACCCTCACACAGAGATATATCATGGACACTCCATTCACACCCTCACACAGAGATATATCATGGACACTCCATTCACACCCTCACACAGAGATATATCATGGACACTCCATTCACACCCTCACACAGAGATATATCATGGACACTCCATTCACACCCTCTTACAGAGATATATCATGGACACTCCATTCACACCCTCTTACAGAGATATATCATGGACACTCCATTCACACCCTCACAAAGAGATATATCATGGACACTCCATTCACACCCTCACACAGAGATATATCATGGACACTCTAGTCACACCCTCTTACAGAGATATATCATGGACACTCCATTCACACCCTCACACAGAGATATATCATGGACACTCCATTCACACCCTCACACAGAGATATATCATGGACACTCCATTCACACCCTCTTACAGAGATATATCATGGACACTCCATTCACACCCTCTTACAGAGATATATCATGGACACTCCAGTCACACCCTCTTACAGAGATATATCATGGACACTCCATTCACACCCTCTCACAGAGATATATCATGGACACTCCATTCACACCCTCACACAGAGATATATCATGGACACTCCATTCACACCCTCACACAGAGATATATCATGGACACTCCATTCACACCCTCACACAGAGATATATCATGGACCATTCACACCCTCACACAGAGATATATCACACCCTCACACAGAGATATATCATGGACACTCACACAGAGATATATCACACCCTCACACACAGAGATATATCATGGACACTCCATTCACACCCTCACACAGAGATATATCATGGACACTCCATTCACACCCTCACACCCTCACAGAGATATATCATGGACACTCCATTCACACCCTCAACAGAGATATATCATGGACACTCCATTCACACCCTCACACAGAGATATATCATGGACACTCCATTCACACCCTCACACAGAGATATATCATGGACACTCCATTCACACCCTCACACAGAGATATATCATGGACACTCCATTCACACCCTCACACAGAGATATATCATGGACACTCCATTCACACCCTCACACAAAGATATATCATGGACACTCCATTCACACCCTCACACAGAGATATATCATGGACATTCCATTCACACCCTCACACAGAGATATATCATGGACACTCCATTCACACCCTCACACAGAGATATATCATGGACACTCCATTCACACCCTCACACAGAGATATATCACACTCCATTCACACCCTCACACAGAGATATATCATGGACACTCCATTCACACCCTCACACAGAGATATATCACACCCTGGACACTCCATTCACACCCTCACACTTACAGAGATATATCATGGACACTCCATTCACACCCTCACACAGAGATATATCATGGACACTCACACAGAGATATATCATGGACACTCCATTCACACCCTCACACAGAGATATATCATGGACACTCCATTCACACCCTCACACAGAGATATATCATGGACACTCCATTCACACCCTCACACATAGATATATCATGGACACTCCATTCACACCCTCACACAGAGATATATCATGGACACTCCATTCACACCCTCACACAGAGATATATCATGGACACTCCATTCACACCCTCACACAGAGATATATCATGGACACTCCATTCACACCCTCACACAGAGATATATCATGGACACTCTAGTCGCACCCTCTTACAGAGATATATCATGGACACTCCATTCACACCCTCACACAGAGATATATCATGGACACTCCATTCACACCCTCACACAGAGATATATATAAAGGACACAGCATAAACACACTCACACAGAGATATATCATGGACACTCCATGGACACTCCATTCACACCCTCACACAGAGATATATCATGGACACCCTCACACAGAGATATATCATGGACACTCCATTCACACCCTCACACAGAGATATATCATGGACACTCCATTCACACCCTCACACAGAGATATATCATGGACACTCCATTCACACCCTCTCACAGAGATATATCATGGACACTCCATTCACACCCTCACACAGAGATATATCATGGACACTCCATTCACACCCTCACACAGAGATATATCATGGACACTCCATTCACACCCTCACACAGAGATATATCATGGACACTCCATTCACACCCTCACACAGAGATATATCATGGACACTCCATTCACACCCTCACACAGAGATATATCATGGACACACCATTCACACCCTCCTTTCTCACCCTCTTACAGAGATATATCATGGACACACACAGAGATATATCATGGACACTCCATTCACACCCTCACACAGAGATATATCATGGACACTCCATTCACACCCTCACACAGAGATATATCATGGACACTCCATTCACACCCTCACACAGAGATATATCATGGACACTCCATTCACACCCTCACACAGAGATATATCATGGACACTCCATTCACACCCTCACACAGAGATATATCATGGACACTCCATTCACACCCTCACACAGAGATATATCATGGACACTCCATTCACACCCTCACACAGAGATATATCATGGACACTCCATTCACACCCTCACACAGAGATATATCATGGACACTCCATTCACACCCTCACACAGAGATATATCATGGACACTCCATTCACACCCTCACACAGAGATATATCATGGACACTCCATTCACACCCTCACACAGAGATATATCATGGACACTCCATTCACACCCTCACACAGAGATATATCATGGACACTCCATTCACACCCTCACAGAGATATATCATGGACACTCCATTCACACCCTCACAGAGATATATCATGGACACTCCATTCACACCCTCACACAGAGATATATCATGGACACTCCATTCACACCCTCATACAGAGATATATCATGGACACTCCATTCACACCCTCACACAGAGATATATCATGGACACTCCATTCACAGAGATATATCATGGACACTCCATTCACACCCTCACACAGAGATATATCATGGACACTCCATTCACACCCTCACACAGAGATATATCATGGACACTCCATTCACACCCTCACACAGAGATATATCATGGACACTCCATTCACACCCTCTTACAGAGATATATCATGGACACTCCATTCACACCCTCACACAGAGATATATCATGGACACTCCATTCACACCCTCACACAGAGATATATCATGGACACTCCATTCACACCCTCACACAGAGATATATCATGGAGACTCCATTCACACCCTCACACAGAGATATATCATGGACACTCCATTCACACCCTCACACAGAGATATATCCATTCACACCTCACACAGAGATATATCATTCACACCCTCACACAGAGATATATCATGGACACTCCAGAGATATATCACACCCTCACACAGAGATATATCATGGACACTCCATTCACACCCTCACACAGAGATATATCATGGACACTCCATTCACACCCTCACACAGAGATATATCATGGACACTCCATTCACACCCTCTTACAGAGATATATCATGGACACTCCATTCACACCCTCACACAGAGATATATCATGGACACTCCATTCACACCCTCACACAGAGATATATATATCACCCTCACACAGAGATATATCATCACACTCCATTCACACCCTCACCCTCACACAGAGATATATCATGGATCACACCCTCACAGAGATATATCATGGACACTCCATTCACACCCTCTTACAGAGATATATCATGGACACTCCATTCACACCCTCACACAGAGATATATCATGGACACTCCATTCACACCCTCTTACAGAGATATATCATGGACACTCCATTCACACCCTCACACAGAGATATATCATGGACACTCCATTCACACCCTCACACAGAGATATATCATGGACACTCCATTCACACCCTCACACAAAGATATATCATGGACACTCCATTCACACCCTCACACAAAGATATATCATGGACACTCCATTCACACCCTCTTACAGAGATATATCATGGACACTCCATTCACACCCTCACACAAAGATATATCATGGACACTCCATTCACACCCTCACACAAAGATATATCATGGACACTCCATTCACACCCTCTTACAGAGATATATCATGGACACTCCATTCACACCCTCACACAGAGATATATCATGGACACTCCATTCACACCCTCTTACAGAGATATATCATGGACACTCCATTCACACCCTCACACAAAGATATATCATGGACACTCCATTCACACCCTCACACAGAGATATATCATGGACACTCCAGTCACACCCTCTTACAGAAACATAGGTGTCATGGAAAGTCATCTCAAATCCTCTTATGAAAAGGTAAATGTTGTTATTGAAATTGGTCAATCACTGGTCAATCCTCTCAAGGAAAGGCAGGTGTTTCTATTGTAACTTGTTAATCATTGGCCAACTCTCCAGTAGAAAATGTTCCTATTGTGACTGGTCAAAACTTTTCGTGGAAAATTGGGTGATCTTATAGGTTCTGGTCAAGCCCTTTCATGGAAAATTAGGTGATCTAAGAGGAATTGGTCAAACAAGGAAATGTAGTTATCGTTATTGGAACTGGTCAATCTTCAGTGACCACATACCACTGCTGGTTACATATATTTCTTTATAATAAAGTCTTAGAAAAATGGCTGTATTTGTTATGTTATAATCTCAAACAGCTTCGTCGTCACACTGGAGAGATGGTAAACTGGTATTTCTATTTAGACAATGGAGAAGGAAGCACACCTTAGTTAATAATGCCTTCTGAAATAAACCTTATACACATGTAGATGTAATCTGCAGTATGTTCACCCTACCAGGTACGGGCCTTTTGTGCCTATTGGTGAATCTACCCATAAACAATGGTTTAGAACAAGGATGGTATTATGTATTGATAACCAATGAAATAGCTTCTTAATCAATGGATAGGATGTAATGTGTCTATCATTAGTGATTTGAATGTTAATTTTTATCTTATTTTTCTGTTTTTATTTCAGGTCAAGTCAAAGATGAAGAAAGCCTCACAAAAAAAGTCCAAGCCTTATTAATTTTACACATCATTATAAAGACTTTCATAAAAAAATTTTGTAAAATTTGTTTTTCATTTACTATTATTTGAACCAGTTCTGTTAATGCAATCTGTACAAAGTTTGCTCATAAAGAGGAAATAATCAAAGTTTTAACTGTCAAAGATGAAATACACAGAAAGTTTTATCCACTAAGATTAAATACTGTATATAGGGAAATATCCTTTCAGTGTCTTTTGGCCCTATCATAAACCATTCACTCATGCCTCGTGTTAAACTCAATCCAACGTCCTTAAAAACATATTTCAGTGTTAACACAAAGCTTCATATACCATTGAATTTTCACCCTAAAAATGAATGAGCAAAGTTAATGAGAGTTAAATATACCAAAGATTCTCTGTATTCAAAGCACCAAAATGTTTTTAAGATAGTACACTAGTGTTTATATAATTAATGTTTAAATATTTCACATAACAGTACACCAAAGTGTCAACACAACAGCACACCAAAGTGTTTATACAACAGCTCACCAAAGTGTTTACACAACAGCACACCAAAGTGTTTACACAACAACTCACCAAAGTGTTTTCACAACATGACACCAAAGTGTCAACACAACAGCACACCAAAGTGTTTATACAACAGCACACCAAAGTGTTTACACAACCACTCACCAAAGTGTTTTCACAACAGCACACCAAAGTGTTTACACAACATGACACCAAAGTGTTTACACAACAGTACACCAAAGTGTTTACACAACAGCTCACCGAAGTGTTTTCACAACAGCACACCAAAGTGTTTACACAACAGCACACCAAAGTGTTTACACAACATGACACCAAATTGTTTACACAACAGTACACCAAAGTTTTTGCACAACAGCACACCAAAGTGTTTACACAACAGCACACCAAAGTGTTTACACAACAGCACACCAAAGTGTTTACACAACAGCTCACCAAAGTGTTTTCACAACATGACATCAAAGTGTTTACACAACAGTACACCAAAGTGTTTACACAACAGCTCACCAAAGTGTTTACACAATATGACACCAAAGTGTTCACACTACAGCACACCAAAGTGTTTACACAACAGCTCACCAAAGTGTTTTCACAACAGCACACCAAAGTGTTTACAGAACAGCACACCAAAGTCTTTACACAACAGTACACCAAAGTGTTTACACAACAGCGCACCAAAGTGTATACACAACAGCGCACCAAAGTGTTTACACTTAAACAATACATGTACCCCCGAGAAACAGACTGGTATTTGTTGATGTGTCTTTGAAAGTAGTGAAGACACTTTACCATAAATGCTGTGGAAGGCATGGGATTGGCCTCTTGTATGTTGTTCAGTGAGGTAGCCACCAGATACCACAAGGAGACCCCACCTTCAAATGACAGGCTGTTAATGGGATGATAAAACCAGATAGATAAATATCAATATGTGTTCACATATAGAACAATTTTATCATAATATTTGTTACAGTTACTGTAGACTTAGTGGAAACAAATCTGCTTGATTTCCTGTCTCACAGTGCTATAAAAATGGTCCACAGTGAATCTGAAAAATAATGCAGTATTCTTGTATTAATTAAACATGCATTAGATAGACTGCTTAGCGCTGGCAACACTCGTAATTAATTGTTCTAACAAGTCTTTGTTGCGACGTTTTACAGGAAATTAAAGGACATGTTATGAAGGTTCTGGATAAATCTTGATATTGGAAATCAATCTAAATCACTGTTTGTGCCTATTCTTGGAGCTTTGATAGTCATCAATGGAGCAGGACCCTGATTTAGTGAGATGAGATATTGTTTTCGAAATGTCAGCAGAAATCAATAGTAGATATGTGTATTTCACCTGGTAGGTAGTCTGTTGCCAGGCTGGGATTACTTGAATTGGTCTTAATCAGCTAAATGGGCTGTCTGGACAGTCTCCCCAAAATGATCACTTTCCAAATGTGAAATGTTCAGGATTTCTGTTTGGAAAATCAGGAAAATATATACATGATATTTATGAAATTTTCATCATGTAAATGAAAATATTTTGCAGTAGAACTACATTGAGATCCTAACAAGGGCAATACAAACTAAAGGTTAAAGTTTTAACTAAACAAGGATTAACCAGTCAATAAAGAATACTTCTATCATAAAGAAACCTGTCAATAGTGACCAGAATATAGGGAACCTGTCTAAAGTGACCAGTATATAGGGAACCTGTCAATAGTGACCAGTATATAGGGAACCTGTCAATAATAACCTGTATATAGGGAACCTGTCAATAGTTACCTGTAGATAGGGAACCTGTCAATAGTAACCTGTATATAGGGAACCTGTCAATAGTAACCTGTAGATAGGGAACCTGTCAATAGTAACCTGTATATAGGGAACCTGTCAATAGTAACCTGTAGATAGGGAACCTGTCAATAATAACCTGTATATAGGGAACCTGTCAATAGTTACCTGTAGATAGGGAACCTGTCAATAGTAACCTGTATATAGGGAACCTGTCAATAGTAACCTGTATATAGGGAACCTGTCAATAGTTACCTGTATATAGGGAACCTGTCAATAGTGACCTGTATATAGGGAACCTGTCAATAGTGACCTGTAGATAGGGAATCTGTCAATAGTGACCTGTAGATAGGGAACCTGTCAATAGTAACCTGTAGATAGGGAACCTGTCAATAGTGACCTGCAGATGGGGAACCTGTCAATAGTAACCTGTATATAGGGAACCTGTCAATAGTGACCTGTAGATAGGGAACCTGTCAATAATAACCTGTATATAGGGAACCTGTCAATAGTAACCTGTATATAGGGAACCTGTCAATAGTTACCTGTAGATAGGGAACCTGTCAATAGTTACCTGTAGATAGGGAACCTGTCAATAATAACCTGTGTATAGGGAACCTGTCAATAGTAACCTGTAATAAGGGAACCTGTCAATAGTAACCTGTAATAAGGGAACCTGTCAATAGTGACCTGCAGATGGGAAACCTGTCAATAGTAACCTGTATATAGGGAACCTGTCAATAGTGACCTGTAGATAGGGAACCTGTCAATAGTAACCTGTATATAGGGAACCTGTCAATAGTAACCTGTATATAGGGAACCTGTCAATAGTTACCTGTAGATAGGGAACCTGTCAATAGTTACCTGTATATAGGAAACCTGTCAATAGTAACCTGTAATAAGGGAACCTGTCAATAGTTACCTGTATATAGGGAACCTGTCAATAGTAACCTGTATATAGGGAACCTGTCAATAGTGACCTGTATATAGGGAACCTGTCAATAGTAACCTGTATATAGGGAACCTGTCAATACTGACCTGTAGATAGGGAACATGTCAAAAGTAACCTGTATATAGGGAACCTGTCAATAGTTACCTGTACATAGGGAACCTGTCAACAGTTACCTGTAAATAGGGAACCTGTCAATAGTAACCTGTATATAGGGAACCTGTCAATAGTGACCTGTATATAGGGAACCTGGCAATAGAAACCTGTATATAGAGAATCTGTCAAAAGTTACCTGTAGATAGGAACCTGTCAATAGTTACCTGTGTATAGGGAACCTGTCAATAGTTACCTGTAGATAGGGAACCTGTTAATAGTAACCTGTATATAGAGAACCTGTCAATAGTAACCTGTAGATAGGGAACCTGTCAATAATAACCTGTGTATAGGGAAATAGATAGGGAACCTGTAACCTGTATATAGGGAACCTGTCAATAGTGACCTGTAGATAGGGAACCTGTCAATAATAACCTGTATATAGGGAACCTGTCAATAGAAACCTGTATATAGGGAACCTGTCAATAGTAACCTGTAGATAGGGAACCTGTCAATAGTGACCTGTATGTAGGGAACCTGTCAATAGTAACCTGTATATAGGGAACCTGTCAATAGTAACCTGTATATAGGGAACCTGTCAATAGTGACCTGTAGATAGGGAACCTGTCAATAATAACCTGTATATAGGGAACCTGTCAATAGTAACCTGTAATAAGGGAACCTGTCAATAGTAACCTGTATGGGGAACCTGTCAATAATCTGTATATAGGGAACCTGTCAATAAGTAACCTGTACCTATAGGGAACCTGTCAATAATAACCTGTATATAGGGAACCTGTCAATAGAAACCTGTATATAGGGAACCTGTCAATAGTAACCTGTAATAAGGGAACCTGTCAATAGTTACCTGTAGATAGGGAACCTGTCAATAGTTACCAATAGTTACCTGTAGATAGGGAACCTGTTAATAGTAACCTGTATATAGAGAACCTGTCAATAGTAACCTGTAGATAGGGAACCTGTCAATAATAACCTGTGTATAGGGAACCTGTCAATAGTTACCTGTAGATAGGGAACCTGTCAATAGTAACCTGTAGATAGGGAACCTGTCAATAGTAACCTGTAGATAGGGAACCTGTCAATAGTAACCTGTATATAGGGAACCTGTCAATAGTAACCTTTAGATAGGGAACCTGTCAATAGTAACCTGTATATAGGGAACCTGTCAATAGTTACCTGTAGATAGGGAACCTGTCAATAATAACCTGTATATAGGGAACCTGTCAATAGTTACCTGTAGATAGGGAACCTGTTAATAGTAACCTGTATATAGGGAACCTGTCAATAGTTACCTGTAGATAGGGAACCTGTCAATAATAACCTGTAGATAGGGAACCTGTCAGTAGGGAACCTGACAGTAGGAAACCTGTCAGTAGTGAACCTGACATTAGGAAACCTGACAGTAGGGAACCTGTCAGTAGGAAACCTGACAGGAGGGAACCTGACATTAGGAAACCTGACAGTAGGGAACCTGATAGTAGGAAACCTGACAGTAGGGAACCTGTCAGTAGGTACTGTCAGTAGGTACCTGTCAGTAGGAAACCTGTCGGTAGGGAACCTGTCAGTAGGGAACCTGTCAGTAGTGAACCTGAGAGTAGGGAACCTGTCAGTAGGTACCTGTCAGTAGGAAACCTGTCAGTAGGAAACCTGACAGTAGGGAACCTGTCAGTAGGTACCTGTCAGTAGGTACCTGTCAGTAGGAAACCTGTCAGTAGTGAACCTGAGAGTAGGGAACCTGTCAGTAGGTACCTGTCAGTAGGAAACCTGTCAGTAGGGAACCTGTCAGTAGGAAACCTGTCAGTAGGTACCTGTCAGTAGTGAACCTGAGAGTAGGGAACCTGTCAGTAGGTACCTGTTAGTAGGAAACCTGTCAGTAGGGAACCTGTCAGTAGGGAACCTGTCAGTAGGGAACCTGTCAGTAGGTACCTGTCAGTAGGGAACCTGTCAGTAGGTACCTGTCAGTAGGAAACCTGTCAGTAGGGAACCTGTCAGTAGGGAACCTGACAGTAGGGAACCTGACAGCAGGAAACCTGTCAGTAGTGAACCTGTCAGTAGGGAACCTGACAGTAGGGAACCTGTCAGTAGGTACCTGTCAGTAGGGAACCTGTCAGTAGGACATATTAAAGGATCAGCCTACCAATAAAGATATATATTTAAGGATCAGCATACCAATAAAGACATATATTTAAGGACCAGCCTACCAATAAAGACATATTAAAGGACCAGCCTACCAATAAAGACATATTAAAGGACCAGCCTACCAATAAAGACATATTAAAGGATCAGCCTACCAATAAAGAAGTATTTTAAAGGATCAACCTACCAATCAAGACATATTTGAGGATCGACCTTCCAATAAAGACATATATTTAAGGATCGACCTACAAATAAAGACATATATTTAAGGATCGACCTACCAATAAAGACATATTTGAGGATCGACCTACAAAAAAAGACATATATTTAAGGACCAGCCTACCAATAAAGACATACAAAACTGATACAGCCTTAGAATGATAACAGTTTTACTATGGCCAATTATTATAGATCATAACAAGAGTGATCCCTAGGTTGTGAATCTGTCGGATTTGCTAAGGATAGGAATATATCTCTTTTTATCTTTTCAGTTGAAATAATCAAATCTTATGTTGTTGAATTGTGTTTTCTGGGATTGTTTGAAGTTTTTGTTTGTTGTCTGTTTTATAGCCATGAATGTGTATCTGATTTAACATATAAACAACCTACTCTATTTGAACTTTCACCTCAACAGCTTCTTGATCCTAGAGCAACGACTATAATCTGTTGATAAATATATACATGTGTACATGTTTACTCCAGATACTGTACTTAAACTGTGGTAGGTACAGTAGTTATATATCGAGTGTTCAAAATGCACAATACAAATGTTGATGACCTTTCATACTTACCTGTACCACCTTTATCAGTATGCATCTTGAAACTTCCTCAATCTTAAAGAGTTTCTTTCATCAAAAGCATAATCTATTACGTGATGTTACCCATGTGTTTATAAACACAAAATCTCCATTTATTAGAATGATTACGGCATATGGATTTTCAATTGTTGACACATAGTTTTAACTATGATAAATAACAAATATTTGAATCCCTCTGTTGTCCTTTTAGTCACTGAAACTTAGGTAAGATTTTAAAATCTGGCAATTTGTCACGAATCTAAAGTCCTGTCCGTATTTGTGTAGTATTTAATCTGTACTTTAAGGTAGGGTGTGAGTAACAGTGTTTGTGGGACAGGTAAACACCTAAATGATTGACCTTGTACTTATAGCGGTCAAACCAACTTTCAGAATTTGTATAGACCAAGTGGTCATTCAACTGTATGGACATCCTACTTAATCCTAATCACCAGATGTTGTTACGTCATCAGTGTTGATGATTATATCACATTTATAGATCCTTAAACAACATTGTAACATTTTATGTACTACACAGATGTGAGGTCAGGATCAGGAAAGAGCTCAAGGACGTCTGAAAGGTCAAAATAATTCTGATGTTTTTCATCAGAATCAGGGTCTTGATGTTAATATCATTTAAAGCAGTGTTGCATGGATTGACAACATGTGTTGTTTTATTCACAGTCAAGGTCATTTGCAAAAGTCATACAGATCAAATAGATGTCTCTTAGTGCTAAATATAGCATGTTTGGCAGATGTGTTTTTGTTACAGGTCAAGGTTATATCAATATATATGTCTTTTATGGCAGAGATTTAAACTTTCTTTCTTATGGATTATTTTGATACTTGACCTCTAGATAACAGTGGAAGAATCTCCTGCAGCTTACATAACCTCTGTTAATAGCTTCCCCTGGGATTTCTGGAGACAGAAAGATTTAGTCATCAAAGGCAGATTTAATCCATTATGGTCCGGTTGTCAATATAACAATCCTCCATTCTCTTTGAAGATCTAGTTGTCAAAAATCTTAACAATTTCTCTATAGTTGTTTTTTCAATACATCTCCCCTCAATTTCTGTTTCAATAACTGGTTGTCAAGACAACATAACACAATCATCTGTGACGTGGTGAGCAAATGAGACGATGTATCCTGTATAAATGTGAATGGGACTTGGGACTTCATTTACATTTAACAGGTTCTCCTCGTGAGTCAGTGAGAAGTATTCTACTGTGTGGCACATTCCCACTCCTGGAAAGAAACAATGATGCTTGAGAGCAAGGTGTAGTATTTTGTCAATTTTCAATGGTTCCAACGTAGGTGGCACGTCTTATCATGAGAGTAAGGTTCATTGTAGAATCTTACCCTGAGAGCATTAGTATGTATTTTGTCAGTATTTTGTCAGAAGTCCGTGGTTCTGACATTGGTGTTGAATCTTACAATCAAAGCCAGGTTCAGTATTTTGTCAGTATTCTGTGGTTCTGACATTGGTGTTGAATCTTACAATCAAAGCCAGGTTCAGTATTTTGTCAGAATTCCGTGGTTCTGACATTGGTGTTGAATCTTAAAATCAAAGCCAGGTTCAGTATTTTGTCAGTATTCTGTGGTTCTGACATTGGTGTTGAATCTTACAATCAAAGCCAGGTTCAGTATTTTGTCAGAATTCCGTGGTTCTGACATTGGTGTTGAATCTTACAATCAAAGCCAGGTTCAGTATTTTGTCAGAATTCCGTGGTTCTGACATTGGTGTTGAATCTTACAATCAAAGCCAAGTTCAGTAATTTGTCAGTATTTCATGGTTCTGACAAAATTGTTGAATCTTACCATGCAAGCCATGTTCAGTATTTCGTCAATAGTTCATGGTTCTGACATACGTGCCAAATCTTATCACAAAAGCAAGGAAATTTTTTCATCTACTTGACTCTACTTATTATCTTTTTCTTAATGCCTAAGTCAGCATTTCTGTTGATGAATGTCCATGGAAAATCTTGTCATCACAGATACCCAGGTCTTGTGGTTAACCAAACTCTACAGAATGAGAAATCTTTCTGGTCAAATTTTAAAAAGAGGATTTCCACATGCTACATGGTTTTAGAAAATTTGTTCTTTTTCTGTGTCAGCTGTTTATTTGTCTCTCATTAAAAAGATAATTACTGAGTGTCTAGTATCTCAACCATACTAAGATGGCTGCACCAATCACAGGATGCATTTTCAAATGTGGATTTTCATTTTCTTTTATTAAAACTACCTCTGGAAGAAATGCAGTGACACTTTCAATAAAAAATTCTTCTCTCGGTGGTTCAAAGGCTTCAACTTTTTCCTCCAATTTTTACACCCTGCTTAACAGGCATGTGCAATGAGATTTGATTCGCTGAAAAAATTCCATTGTAATGAAAGTATTTAGATGAGTTGAATGTGACTCCTTACTGGCCACCATCAGATCTTCATAATGTAGTGTATAATGATGATCGGTCTTTTCAACAGATAGAAGAGAATCGTCACTCAATGAACAGAAAAATCAAATAAACACACAACAACTTGATACAGTTTAAATAATAAAGTTTATTGTATGTTAACACCTACAGATCGGACTGATCACTAATGCATGAAGATGACAGCACTTGTAACATGAATACCTGACAACTAGGGAACATCATCCTCCTAGCATTTCGCCTTCTGTCGGCACTCAACAATAATCCAAGTAAAAAACTATCAACAGTTTAAATGTATATGCCATTAAAATCACATGTGATTTTTAAAAAATGGACGGCTTCTGTTATAAATGGTAAATTAGGTTGCTCAGCAACAAAAAAACTGGACGGTTTTGTTAATTATAATAAAATAATATAGGATGAAAAAAATATGATTGTTAAAAAAGATATATATATACTTCGTCTGTAGCTTGCACAGACACACACCAATAAATAATTCATTTGCTTTCAAAAATTCTTTTACCATTAGAGATTTCAAAAGCATTACCTTAACAGTTGAAATAAAAGGCAATTTAATTCCCATCTTAAATCGAAGTCTATTTATTGCAATTTTAGATCACAATGACACTTTTTATTCTGATTAACACTTATATCTAAAATTATGTAGTTAGAGAGTACTACTATCTATGGTTTGAGATTGACGTATCCCCTAAATAACAAGCAAAAATATTAGGACAATAGATATGACTTTTAACACATCATGTGTAAAATATGCTTAGTAAAATGTCGAGTCTTGACTTTTCAAATCAGAGCCTTTCATGACAAGACCAAGATTTCTAAAATGTTCTTGTAGATGATTTCTGTGTCATTTTAATATTTTACTGACCAAGGATTGGAATTAGGTGCTTTATACTGTATCATTAATACATGATCAGTCAAATTACATTTAAAAAAAAAAAAAACGATGCTTTTTTTTTTCATTTTTGAAATAAAACTGGTGGTCTAGATAAATAAAATATGTTACTAGGAAATTTGAATTTAGTGCACAATTAATGAATTAGATGCATTTCTAAATGTAACTTTACAACCAAACACATTTGCTACTGTACATGTGATGTATGATAAAGTAGCCAGACTATCACAACTGATCTGGTAACTGGTACAGGTAGAAATGTATGGACTAGTGCAATGTTGGGACAGAATGATTCAGACATTGTTACCATGATTACAAGCATCAAAATTTATTTTATGGCCTAATACAATAAAAATGGTTATTCATGTAAATTATTCAATTATTTTATCAACCGATTGATTATTACTGATCAAGGCTTACTTCCGTTTCAAACAATGCATAAAACTTTTACCTCAATTTTTTAATTGTTTAACTTAAAATTCCATTCACAATAAAATTTGAAAATAAAATTCTAAATTCCCTCAAAAAAATATCTGAAACATCCACATAATTGATAATAAGTCTGCGAGACCCAATAATCTGTACTAATTATATGCATCTATGTGACCCCCCCACTTCCTAAAGTCAAACCTTTAGGTTGACCTATAGGACATATTTTTAACCTCGTGAACAACATTAATTACAACTATATGTACACAATCTTATAAACGTCTGTACACAAGGGACACAATGTACGTAAATACTACTGTACACCTGTGTAACCACCAGTGGTACACTAAAAGTACATCAAGTTGCCAAGGCAATAATTAGATGACCGGGCAGAGATCGCCAATCGCAAATATATGCCAGAATTGTCCAACCAGGTCTGTAACATTTTAAGTGTTGTAAAAGATACAAGTATGAAATTAATGAACAGAACTAAGATATGGAAACCCTGAAAGTTGAATGATTAAACTCCCAAATTTACCCCAGATATATTTAAGTGCTGATGAGGAGTCTGGGATGTAACAGACTTCTAGGATGCAAATGATACTGTACTGCTGGAGACATTGGGGAAATCGTGGACACTCGATTGTCTTAGGGACACCAAAGATACTCAACTGCTGAAAACCCTCATGATGTCTATAGACAAATCAGCCTGACAATACTGTATATACACTTGTGTTAAGATTCTGAGACATGTAACCAACTAGCAATACAGTACTGCTGTCAAGACAATACATTTTATTTTATTTTTTGTTTCTCTACTGATCAAAACAATTTGTTTCTCTACTGATCAAAACAATTACCTATGACCATAAAATGAAACACAAAAGGATTGACTTGTACATAACAAGAATTCAACAAATGTAGAAAAACACTGATGACAATAACAATAAGCACTGGTAACGTCTCCACAGAGAAGTACAAATAAAACATAATAAACAACTAGAAAGGCAATGATTATTACAAAAACTTGGCATAACTTAAATGGACAAAACTTTTTAAAAAATGTACAGCACTTGTTTCTTATAATGAGGCAACTGGAATAAAACCTGATTGGTAATTATAACTTGACCTCTAGCTTATGTGGAGTGAGACCCTTTATATCGGACATAAATGTAACCCTGTATTACAAATACATTTATATCTTATATTTCTGTCAGTATATGTACAGTCATGGAAAAGGCTTTTACATCACTGATGGTATCAAACAAATACCAGAAAAAATTGGTCACTAATTGTTCAGAAATAAAAAAAAAAGATACATCTTTTCGATAAAAAAAAATTCAATATTTATGAAACAGCTCACATATGTAAATTCACCATATAATGGTATTCACTTTGTAGGGAGTGTACCAGGTGATCACACCATAGCAACACGGACTAGATTAACAAAGCAATAATACTCAGTAACCAACAAACATTTGGCACAATCTATCGCCATGGCGATCCTTCTACACGGTGGTACCATTAGCTTATTCTTCTCATAAGAACTGGACGGAAACAATTATTTGGAAGATGACTTTAAAATGTTGCTCTATAGTAATTGATATGTATGTTTCTTTAACAAATTCATTTGTGAGGATTTATCACAAGTGCAAGATACAAAAAAGATCTGCCCAACATTGATGCATGAAATTTAGTATTGATAAGTGGACATGATGGCCAATCAACCATTGATACATATCTTTACAAATACCTCAGATTATCATGAACCTGAACAAAAAAGTTAATGAACACACATTTAAAGCACTTGTTGGATAAAACAAAATCTACAGTTGAATATTTGTAGACAAATATCACAGCTACAAAAATACAAAAACCATGGGAAGACACTACAACATATTAAGAGAGAGAAAAGGCCTAATAAGACTGAATAATTTCAGTGTTGTGCATCTTAAAGTATCCCTAATTAAATCTGTCACATATCTATTGTTTGATTTCTATCTATTTCCTTAGTTTACAACATTCCACAGAATGTCAAATGAATGACTTGACAGCAACGACCAATGATGTTAGCATTGTGTCAGGGAGGCTGCTACAACAACTTTAAGGAAGGGAAAATTATATTTGTGCATGTATAGAAACATGACGAAATAGCTAGTTGGTGTAAGGAAAAAGGCAGACATGAAGGAACAGCACTGTCTCAAGATGTTACCTTGGTTCAATATATCACTGATAGTATCTATAAACGAAGTCCAGATTTGGGAAATATCCATATATGGGATAAGGTGTTTCTGGACGGATGATAAATACTCCTTAGGGCAACCATGCACTAAGAAGGAAATAAGTGTGGAGGGAGGGGCGTTGGTTGGCTATACCCTTCAATGAGAGAAGACACATCCTCATAGTTTGTGTGCCTCCAGCCACATAACAAATATGTATAGTTCCCCGAGATAAAGTCCATCAGGCATGAAACACTCTGAACAAACGGTGGATCCTGAAAAGGTAAATTCTCTTTTACTTGCATTGGCTCGCAAATTCTGTCTATCCAAAGGCAGAGGATGCGACAAAAAGTAAAAGATTGAGCGAGAACTCTCCTTAGGGGGAGTTGTCGTTGTGACATGGCAGTAGGTTCGATGTTATGGAACATACAAATGCAGATACCAGTATGTAGACCAGGGGGGCATCTCAGCCCAATGACGCCAGGTCTGCCTGTACATCTGGGTCACGATGAAGCTCGTCAATTTCCTCTGGCTGAACACGTCTATGTTCTGACCGTAACGAGCGGCCAGATCGATTGGACTTATTGCTTTTAGTTGACCGTGTGGATTTGGCACTTTTCGTACTGTTGGCACGGATGGATTGTCTATGTATGAGGTTCTGACTTATCGTACGATGAAGGTTCTTGTTGCTAGAGCTAGCTGCATTGGTCACTAGCCATGTGTGGTTCATAGACTGGTTGGCCCCGATTCGCACATTCGGGTCCACAATCAGTAATTTGTCAATGAAATCCTTTGCAGCAGCTGATACATCCTTCCAATGCTGCAAAATTAAAACACAAATCATTAGTCACTATACCCAAATACATTATTCAATCTTCTACTCAATATAATTATAAATCATTTTCAGTAATATGTATTGATATATAATTTATATATTTATATTTATGAGTATAAGCTGTCTTCCCAAACACAAATTATGGTTGATTTCCTGAGATAAAAAAATAGACAAATAAATTGTGTAGAGTTGTGTGGACTTGTTACTTCCTTCACTTCTGTCTTAAAATTTTTTTCTGATAATCATCATTACATGGGAGTAGTTTTACATGAAATTTTAGTATAGTTTCAAAATTTTTTTTCAAAATTTGACCTTTAAATTGTACTCAAATGAAACGGTATGCAATATATTTTAAACTCAAAATATTTCTGCAGTTTTCTCTACACAAGATACATAATAACCAAAAAGGACACATGGAAGTCATAAGCAGACAAAAACCTTAAACTTCCAAAATATGACAATTCATCAGAAGTAAACATTGATAAAACACAAATTTCTGCAAACAGAATATATCATAATCAATGTTTTTCTCCATTGTCTTTATAACCCAGGTTATTTCTTTTTTCTGCATTATTAATTCTACCCATCACTTAATATCTGTTTTTATCAACTGTAAAAACATTAATATTTGTTGAGGATTTATTTTCAACTGTTTTGTGGGTACTCTTAATCCTTAAATTTAAATGTCCACTAAGTGTTAAAATAAGTGTATGTAGACTTATTGAGCTATAGGTATATCCACAAAATCATGTGTCCACGAAATTATTTTTTTGAAAAAGCATAAAAATTGAGCCCGTTAAATGTATGCTTTCACAGTACCTAGCTATAAAATTGGGTACCCACAATATGCTGGGAAGAAGACACATGAATGGCTGTCGTACTTCAAACAGGGGTCATGTACTTTAATTGCCTCATGGTAGTAAAACTGTAGAGAATACAACATAAGCCCATTACCACCTTACTGTTCACAGAGATGTGGTGTTAAGATACAGACAACATATAGGATGAGTGCTTTGGACAATGACCTTGACACTACTTCCATCAAGGTCAATTGTCTAGGTATAAAACTGGCTACTGTCTGTACAATGTATCTCTATACCAGAATTAAATATTTCCCACTTAAAACATATATTAGCGCTTTTGCTGATAAAACAATTATGTCGTTTCTGAATCCATGTATAAGCTCACATAATGTGTATTGGCTGTGAATTCAGTCCAATTTCTAGTTGTACTGTACCCATGATACTTCACCCACTAACTGATAAAGTTTAATATCAGGAAGCGCCAACCGATATGCTTTTAAAATATATTTAAAACTATACTGCTGCCACACAATGATCTTGTTCCTCAGTCGTGCTGAGAATACAGCCCTCGTCCTAAATCTGCCATTTGTGTATGGAGCAGGCGTGCTGCGTGATCATCTGCCAGGCTCTGAATTACGGCTCTGTTTTCAACATTGTAAGACAGCAAGTAAAAAGATGGCAGTGTTTAGCAAAAGCAGGATGGGGGCAAACTTGAAGGCAAAAACCTAATGTACCTGCTTCATGAATAATAATATTGTTGAGTAAATTGATTTCCAAGATTGTATGACAGTGGCTGATCTGCAGTACTGCCTCATTGTGTGATGTAGGGTGAGGAACCCCATCTCTACCCTACCACTACTAAATCTATTACAACACTGAAACGAATAAAGGTGTCAGCTTTGCAGGTGCTTTTCTTACTATTGTGTTGTCGTTTACAGGGGCTCCCCTCGGGGAAGTCTAGTTTGATTTATACTAATTTCCATACCATACCACTAGATAAGCTTTCAATGACATTGAAGTGGTACCTCATCACGTTACAATACAAGCATCTTAAAATCAGTGCATGATTCTGAAGAGTAACAATACAGTTCCATTTTAAACATTTCCTGTTTTTGATATACAGTGTTCTATCCACAATTACTTCACAGATGTTTTTTCCCTTATTTTAGTGTCTGTCCATGGCCCTTGATGAGATCTCAGCATGCATTTAACAACAGAAGGAAGAGATATGGCAGTTGTATAGATTAGCCTGGTGATAAACCTAAATCCAAGATAAAACTGCCAGTGTGACTGTGCAAATCATACTTAGTTCCTATTCTTTATAGGAGGAAACTTACTGAGAGTAAGGAGATCACAATCATATCTGACAGTGACAGTTTACAATGGTTAACATATGTAGGTACCCCACTGTCAACACTGACAGGTACACTACAGTCAACACTTACAAATACACCACGGTCAACACTGACAGGTACACCACAGTCAACACTGACAGATACACCATAGTCAACACTGACAGGTACACCATAGTCAACACTGACAGGTACACACCAGTCAACACTGACAGGTACACCATAGTCAACACTGACAGGTACACCACAGTCAACACTGACAGGTACACTACAGTCAACACTTACAAATACACCACGGTCAACACTGACAGGTACACACCAGTCAACACTGACAGGTACACACCAGTCAACACTGACAGGTACACCATAGTCAACACTGACAGGTACACACCAGTCAACACTGACAGGTACACCATAGTCAACACTGACAGGTACACACCAGTCAACACTGACAGGTACACCATAGTCAACACTGACAAGTACACACCAGTCAACACTGACAGGTACACCACGGTCAACACTGACAGGTACACCATAGTCAACACTGACAAGTACACACCAGTCAACACTGACAGGTACACCACGGTCAACACTGACAGGTACACCATAGTCAACACTGACAGGTACACACCAGTCAACACTGACAGGTACACCACAGTCAACACTGACAGGTACACTACAGTCAACACTTACAAATACACCACGGTCAACACTGACAAGTACACACCAGTCAACACTGACAGGTACACACCATAGTCAACACTGACAGGTACACACCATAGTCAACACTGACAGGTACACCATAGTCAACACTGACAGGTACACCACCAGTCAACACTGACAGGTACACCACCAGTCAACACTGACAGATACACCATAGTCAACACTGACAGGTACACACCATAGTCAACACTGACAGGTACACCACAGTCAACACTTACAAATACACCACGGTCAACACTGACAGGTACACCACCAGTCAACACTGACAGATACACACCACAGTCAACACTGACAGATACACCATAGTCAACACTGACAGGTACACCACGGTCAACACTGACAGGTACACCATAGTCAACACTGACAGGTACACCACAGTCAACACTGACAGGTACACCACCAGTCAACACTGACAGATACACACCACAGTCAACACTGACAGATACACCATGGTCAACACTGACAGGTACACCACGGTCAACACTGACAGGTACACCACGGTCAACACTGACAGGTACACCACAGTCAACACTGACAGGTACACCACAGTCAACACTGACAGGTACACCACGGTCAACACTTACAAATACACCATGGTCAACACTGACAGGTACACGGTCAACACTGACAGGTACACCAGTCAACACTAACAGGTACACACCAGTCAACACTGACAGATACACCATAGTCAACACTGACAGGTACACACCATAGTCAACACTGACAGGTACACCACCAGTCAACACTGACAGGTATACCACACCACAGTCAACACTGACAGGTACACCACACCACAGTCAACACTGACAGGTACACCACCAGTCAACACTGACAGATACACCATAGTCAACACTGACAGGTACACCACGGTCAACACTGACAGGTACACACCAGTCAACACTGACAGATACACCATAGTCAACACTGACAGGTACACACCATAGTCAACACTGACAGGTACACCATAGTCAACACTGACAGGTACACCACGGTCAACACTGACAGGTACACCATAGTCAACACTGACAGGTACACCATAGTCAACACTGACAGGTACACACCAGTCAACACTGACAGATACACCATAGTCAACACTGACAGGTACACACCATAGTCAACACTGACAGGTACACCATAGTCAACACTGACAGGTACACCACCAGTCAACACTGACAGGTACACCACACCACAGTCAACACTGACAGGTACACCACACCACAGTCAACACTGACAGGTACACCACGGTCAACACTGACAGGTACACCACAGTCAACACTGACAGGTACACCACAGTCAACACTGACAGGTACACCACGGTCAACACTTACAAATACACCATGGTCAACACTGACAGGTACACCACGGTCAACACTGACAGGTACACCAGTCAACACTGACAGGTACACACCAGTCAACACTGACAGATACACCATAGTCAACACTGACAGGTACACACCATAGTCAACACTGACAGGTACACCATAGTCAACACTGACAGGTATACCACACCACAGTCAACACTGACAGGTACACCACACCACAGTCAACACTGACAGGTACACCACCAGTCAACACTGACAGATACACCATAGTCAACACTGACAGGTACACCACGGTCAACACTGACAGGTACACACCAGTCAACACTGACAGATACACCATAGTCAACACTGACAGGTACACACCATAGTCAACACTGACAGGTACACCATAGTCAACACTGACAGGTACACCACGGTCAACACTGACAGGTACACCATAGTCAACACTGACAGGTACACCATAGTCAACACTGACAGGTACACACCAGTCAACACTGACAGATACACCATAGTCAACACTGACAGGTACACACCATAGTCAACACTGACAGGTACACCATAGTCAACACTGACAGGTACACCACCAGTCAACACTGACAGGTACACCACACCACAGTCAACACTGACAGGTACACCACACCACAGTCAACACTGACAGGTACACCACCAGTCAACACTGACAGATACACCACAGTCAACACTTACAGGTACACCATAGTCAACACTGACAGGTACACCACAGTTAACACTGACAGGTACACCACACCATAGTCAACACTGACAGG